TAGCTTCTCCTCAGGGTTGTCTCGCAGGAAGTAAGCCTTGCCAGTAGAGCGTTCCTTCGGGAGTGAGTCAAGAGAGAAAGTCTCTCTGGTCTCCAAGGAGGAAAATCAGGATTTCCCATAATTCTTAGGAGAAGGCCATGCCCACAGAGAGGCCTCATTGGTTATATCTTGATTGACAGGCAAGATGCCACCCCTTCACTCATAATCCTCTCAAGTTGACACCAGATTTTGTAACTACCACAATTGATATTGGGCATATGGGCAATATCAGACTTCTGAACTTGATCTGGACTGGGCTGGGATGTTTTCTCAATATGCCATTGCACTTACACATAAACCTCTTTCTTATACACATATGAGTGTCTATGAATTTGTTTCTCTAGTCTACCCAGACTAACAAAAAGTCCATAAATCCAATATTAGCCCATAAGTCTGACACTACTCCACAGGTCCCACTTCAGAATCACACAGTCACATGCAATAATGCAAAATGCAGGAGGATCACAGGCCAGTGGGGGCAGAGTCTTGTGGATCCAATGGTGATGGAAACATTTCAGCACTGGTGCAGGACTCCACATGATCCTCCAGGTCCCTGAGTACGGCTTGTCAACAGGGAGGGGAAGTAGAAAGAGAGATGAAATTCCCAGAATCCTCATGAGAAGGCCATGCCCACAAGAAGGCATAATCAAGCTGTGACTTGATTGACAGACTCCACCCCAACACTTATTGATCAAGTTAACATGAAATTATGTAACTACCACAATAACTCTGGAAAATAAGCCCCTCAAAATAAAGACTAGAGAAAGTTCCCTCGCCAAGATAAAGTCAATCTTAATGACTTGGATGGAACAAAGCTTTTGAAACCTTTGCTTACTGATGGAACATCACTGAAAATAAGAAGAAATTACATCAAAACATCATTTAATAGAATGTGAAATATATTAAGTATGATCCTAAGAAAACTAGAAGCTATACAAAATGCTGAGAAATTAATGAACATCATTATTTTTAAGCTAAAATCTTGTGAAAATCTAAAATCTTGAGTTGCAATATTGAATTGTTCTCTGGTCAAAATATCAAAAGATGCAGAAAATGTCAAAAGACATAAGGAATGCACAGAGTAATTGTACCAAAAGGAATTTGTTGGCATTCAATTATTTCACAAGGTGGTGAATGTTCAAGATCAAAGTGACTGGAGGAAGAATTACAAGCTCACTGAATGCATTAGCAAAAATCAAAGCTCTGCAACTGTTGGAATGTTATGTCAGGTTGGGTTCTATAGAGAAGCAAAACTGATAACATTTGTAAATGTACGTATATACAGAGAGATTTATATTAAGAAATGGCTTGCATAGTTATAGAAGTAGGTAAGTTCAATTCAAGTCTGTAGGTCAGATGTAAAAGCTGGATGCTTCTCCTGATTCATGTAGCTGCCGGGACTGTGAACAAGATGCAGGAAGGTGAAACTTATCAGAAAACTTGGTTCTCTGATGCAAAAGGTCTCTCTGATGCAAAAGACCACATTCCCAAAGTGTCATCAGACTGCAACATGATTAATTGGGCTCTAACTCTACATTTACATTGATACATTGACTTGACATAAAATCTAACCATCACAGACCAACTCTCATCAAATTGAGACATATACACAACTCTTTAACTGCACATAATCTCCAAACAAGGACAATTAAAAAACCATGCACCTAACATGATACAATTATATAACTGAGAACACGCTAAATTCATTTCCATTCCATATTTTACAAGTAAACAAAGCAAGTATATTTGATGCTTACATACAAATAGGAATTTGTATGTACTCCCAACAGTCACAGTCCTTATTTCTGCAGCTAGTCACATGTCTATAGCTGTCACTAAGATCTTGCACTACCCATTCTGTATTTCCTTTCCCTTCAGCAAGTAAACTGGCTGGTATTAGTTCTTTGTCTGATGGCATGACCCAAATCTTCACGTCTGAAGAGTTTGTGATATTAGTAGTTATTTCAGTTTAGGGTGCTTTAGTTTATCTTTAACCTTAATCACAGGACATGATAGGTCTAAGAGACAACCTGAGGAGTCGCCTGGACTCCAGAACTATTTTTCTTCATGTACAGTATTCAATACAAATCTAAATTATCTTTGGCAATAGGGATCAATCACAAGACTCACTACAGCAAAATCCTTCTTTGCCTATTGATCCAGATGCATGAAAATTCACCATCGATAGAAGTAATTCCTAACTTCCATTTCAATGGAATCAGTGCTGTGTCTCCAGGTGGGAGTGTTTCTCCCTTTGGAACCAAGACCTCCAGACCTGAAGAGTATGAAATTGACACAGACACTGAGAAATCGTGTGGTGAGTGGTCACTAGGCTTTTCCTACCAAAATAGCTCACATTCTACCTTTCAGGGATTAAATATGGGGGTTCTTCAGTGGTTTAAGTATGTCTATTCTACTAATGCATTCTAGACCTGGGGATTTTACTACAGAATGGATCTAAAGACCCACTGCATCCACTGTGAGTTGAAACTGAATTGAGACTCCATTAATAACTTGACCTCCATATGCTTCCACTCTGAATGGTGGGTCTTCAAACATTTTGAATATCCAGGAATTAGTATCCATTCAGAGCTATTTTCTGTTAATTCTCCCAAAGGCTGATTAATTCCTTTTTCACAATGAACAGATATTTTTGTGGAAGGCTGCAAGTATCTTTGGATAAACTGGAAGAAAGGCTAACCATTGATTTACATAGTCTATCTTGTTTCTTTTTGTATCTCTATATAATTTACAACCATATCAGTTAGACAGTTGTGTAATTGTAGACCGTAGATTCCAGGAAGACCTTCATTGTGACTTTTCTGGTGAAATTTCTTCCACTGAAACAAAGTATAGATCACACGCTTTTTATTGTAATTGAGGATTGATTGAAAATTTCCACTTAAATTTTAACAAGCTTAAACCTAATAAATTAAAATGATGAAGGTATATTTATTTGGAATTCCTATTCTAACATGCTAGTATTTCTTGGGCATATGTTCACAAAAGAAGCAAAAAGAAGATGGCTAAATTTGCACACTGTTCTTATTTTTTTTAAGTAATGAATAACATGATTTGATTACAGCCGTAGAATTGGCGTTCTGGTAATTTTATTGAATGTAGATAATCCTCTTGCTAAAATAACTACTTAAGTATTAGACAGTTGGATATGAGGGTAGACATAAAATTTCTGGTCCTCTACAGGGAAAAGCTTATAGACAAACCAAAAATATTTTAAGTGTTGTACATTAACAAAATAATTGAACATTAACAAATTAATTCAAACAAATAGTATACATTATAATGTAAAGTAGAAATTATTCTTAATTAATTTAGCAATATATAAGTTATATCATGACAGCTTATAGATAATGGTTTTCTCTACCATTCTCTTTGGATTTATTATAACTGAAAGCTTATAACAGAAAAGCAAAATGAATTAGAAATTGTGGTAGTTAAATAACTTTATGTCAAATTGATTATATATAAAAGGGTGTGGGTGATATCCATGCTGTCAATCTCAGCCTGATGATTCCTGCTTGTGGATATAACCTTCTCATAAGTAGGGTCCGGGGAACTCCCACACCTTTCTCTCTGCCTTGACTTACCTGCTTGCTGGACATCGTGAGAGCAACTGGAGCCCTGTGATGTTTCCACCAACCTCAGAACCACACTTCTTTGTACGCACTGGCCTGGGTTCTTCATGAATTGTGCATCATTGCATGTGGATTTGTGATTCTGAAGAGGGATTTATGGACTAGTATCTATTTTAAGGAATTGATTTTGGCTGGGCTGGGATGTTTTCTTGCTATACAACTACTTCTTCATATAAAGCTCTGTCTTACACATGTACCTCTGGATTTGTTTCTCTAGTCAACCCAGCCTAATACAAAGATTGATTCATATAAAACAAGATTTTGAAAACAAAACTTTGAAATTGCTTTAAATAGAAATTTCACATGGATAATCCAAAGAATATTTTAATGTATAGATCTCCACTATAACTTTCCTTTTAAAAGAGTCTCCTAGATTTTACATGACTCCATTCTCCCAGTGTTCAAAACCATCTCAAATAAGAATCTTATGAAAGAATATCAATTCCATAAGATTATCACAAACACAAGAGATGATTTTTGTTTTGTTTTTTAATAAAAGCATGGTATATTGTGCCTGCTTTCTCTGTATATATCCATTAGGGAAATATAGAATTAAAAAGTTGATACCAATGAATTTATTAGGAGTAGACGGTTGTTGTTGTTGTTGTTGTTGTTGTTGTTGTTAGGCACCTTTGAGTTGGTTACAAGCCATAGAGACCCCTTGTTCAGCAAAACAAACCATTACATGGTCCTGAACCATCCTTACAATTCTTTCCATGTGTGAGCCCATTGTCACAGCCATACTGTCAAACCATCTTTTGGGGGTCTTCTTTTTTTCACTGCCCTTCCACTTAATCAAGCATGGTGTCCTTCTCCACAGACTACTCTCTCCTGCTAATATGTCCAAAGTATGTCAAACAAAATGTTGTCATTCTTGTCTCTAAGGAGCACTCTGGCCATATGTGGTCGTTGCACAATCTGTTGTCAATTTGAGGCTTAAGAGTGAAGGGGTTGAATTTAGCCCGTCAAGCATATCACAGCTTGATGTCCTCATTTGGAGGCGCTAAGGAGATATAATAGCTAGTTGGGGGCAGGATACAGGCTAACTCCCTGTGAGACATCCCTGTGGAGAAGACACATGGAGAGAGACTGGTGGATCCAGACACTCTGGAGCCGGGGAAGCCATGTGGAGACCCCTGCCAGCACTGAGATGCTTACAATGTTACTGGATCCACAAGACTTCCAACCCACTGGACTGTGATCTTTCTGCATTTGGCACCATTTCATGTGTTTCATGAGTCTGAAGAGGACTTTATAGATTATATCGGACATATGGGCTAATATTGGACTTCAGATTTTATCTGGACTGGGCTCAGATGCTTTCTCCATAGTCAAATACTCTCAGATATAAAGCTCTTTCTTGTACACATATGAGTGTCTCTCTGGAGTTGTTTCTCTAGTCACCCCAGACAAACACAGCATATGTCTTCTAAGACAGATTGGTTTGTCCTATTAGCAGTCCATGGTATTATGGTACTACCATTTTCTCTGCCAGTTTGTCATACTGTGGTGGCTTGTGTGTTACTATGATGCTTGAAATTAAGTCACTGGCCTTTCAAATGCCATCAGGGCCACCCAAAGTGAATAAGTTGAAACCTTCCAGACTAAGAACAGGTAACGAAGAAGGACTTAGGCGGCCCAATTTGAAGTCGAGTGACACTGAAAACGTTATGCATAGCTCCAAACCAAACCAAACCCACTGCTATTAAGTCAATGCTGATCCATAACAACCCCCTGTGGGTTTCTAGACTGAATCTGTTTAAGGGAATAGAACGCCCTATCAATCCCTCCAGAGTCAAAGAGCAGGTTATTAATTATTTATCACCTATTGAGATTCATAGAGTTCCTATAGCACATAGTAGAACTGTATTACAGTGTTCCCAGGTGGTGACCCTGAAGGCGGTGAGTCTGTTCTAAAAGGAACTCCCTTGAACTTTCCTCAAAGTGCTCCGCAGCTGTGAATGGACCTGGGCCAGAACATTGTGCTGAACTTGGTGAGCAGATTGACTCATCTTACCTCCAGGAGTATCTAGTGGAGTCTTACTGCTACCTTTCACTTTGCAGTGAGTCCACATCTTAACCTAGAAATCTACCAGGGCTCCTTAAGGGGAAAACATAAAACAACAGCAATAACAAAACATCATAAATGAGTCTACTGGATTCTTGTCAATCTTATAGAGGGTTTCAAAAATTTAAAATCTTACAAAGAGCAGAGAACCCCATTCTTCTATCTTTGGAGCTGAGGATTGGTTTATACCCCCTGTGGTTTATAACCCCTATTGATTTATATCCCCTTCATTGTTATATTAATTCATTTGATGTTGTTGTTGTTAGGTGACAATGAATTATTAGTTCAGACCCTAGGCACAGCAGAAGGAAACACTGGGTGGTCCTGCACCAACTTCACAACTGTTCCTATGTGTGAGCTCATTGTACCGGCCCCGGTGTCAATTCATCTCAAAGATGTTCTTTTACTGTAAGATGTCCTTCTCCGGGAACTAGTCTCGCCTGAAAATATTTTAAAAATATGTAAGTTGAAGTCTGGCCATCCTTCCGTCTAAGGAAACTCTGGTTTTACTTCTTCCAAGAGAAATTTGTTCATCCTTTTGGCAGCCCAAGGTACTTTGAACATTCTTCTCCAGCAAAGCAATTCAAATGAACCCATGCTTCTTCAGTCTTCTGTACTCAGCGTTCAAATTACACATACATGGAGGTAATTGAAAATGCCTTGTTCAGGTTCACCT